AGATTATTAGTCTCATCGGATTAATAGTTTATTGTTTGTTTTATTTTTTTTGTTTCGGATTAATAGTCTCTCCGGACTAGTAGTTCCACAAATATAGGACTATCATATCCCATGGGGAGGGTGGGATAGAAACTATGGGATTGGTATCCCATGAGATTATTTTGTGAAATGTACATTTTACCTTCCATGCTATTACTTAACAAACAATTAAAAAATAATAAAATAGTCTTTTGAATATTTATAAATTATTTTTTTAGTGTTGTTAATTTAAAATTAAATAAAAAATTTTAATTATAAATTATAAATTAAATTTAATTAAAAATAATAAATTATAAATTATGGCCTTATAAATTGAATTTTTTTAGTGTTGTTAAAAAATTAAATTTACATGTTAAATTAAATTATTTTTTAGTGTTGTTAATTTAAAATTATATATTAAATAAAAAAATTAAATTATAAATTTAATTTAATTGAAAATAATAAATTAAAATAATTAAAATATTGTGCAAAAAAATAAAATAAAACAAATTTTTATATAATCTAGTTAAAAATAATTAAAATATTAAAGCTATGTTTAATATTGCTATTATTTAGTAAATAATTGAAAAGGATAAAATAGTCATTTGAGCATTTATCCTTCTCCATAATATCCCAAACAAACATTGGATAACTAAAAACAGTTCCATTCAGATATCTAATCCCATGACTAAACAAACATAGGATATAAATTTAGTCTAACCAAATAATCCCAGGATAATATATCTCAGGACTAATAGTCCGATAAATTACAATCTCCCTTATCCAATTCGCCTAAACAAACATACCCGATATGTATATTTAGGCCTCGTTTGGGAACAGGCTAATTTAGTAACTTTTTGGCTATTTGGCTAAAAAGATAGGTAAAAAAAACTTGTATGTTTGGGATGACTTTTTGACTAATTACGAAAAGATGTGCAAAAAATAGAGAGAAAAGAGAATCTTTGACTTTTTGGTATGAGTTGTTAACTTTTTGACTAATTTAGTAACTTTTTGACTAATTGATTAAAAAAATAAGTCCCCAAACGGGCCTTAACCGAACAAAAAACCCTTGCGGACGGAACTCTCAAACTGAAGTCAAGGTCCTCCATCTCTCTAATTGTAAAGTCCTTGCGAGTTCTAGAAACCGCGTTAACATTGTTGTTTTGTTTGATCATGGTACCAAAGCCCATGACATTGCTGTCACCCCCACGCGGTTTGAGCGGATTGAATTCTCCCCTCTTCACTCTCTCTGTCTGTCATGTCAACTCACTTCATCATAATAATTTAGAAAAAATTATAAAAATCTCAAAATTTGACCTCACAACAAATTAAATTTTAAAATCTTAACTTCATCAATCCAAATTCTACAAGTTTAAAGTGATTTCAATTTAACTCTTTCATCAATTTAAGTTAACTTTTACTAATCGGGAAAAGAATAAAAATTTAAAAAAAAAAAAAATTGAAGCACAAATGGATCACGTCATAACCATTAATTAACAATCTTATCATATATCGGGATATTTGGTACAACTGTTAAAATAGATTGTATATTATAACTCAACAGATTATAAATTATAGATTATAATTTTAATTAGAATTTGTTAATTTGTTTAGTGTAACTATTAGATTATAGATTTAAATTATTGAGTAGTTTTTAACAAATTAAACTATGAAATAACTTTTTGAATTAGCTTTTATTTTTTGTTATTCACTAATAGTTCATATTTCCCATAAAGAAATAATAATTAATCCATAATTTATTTGGGTCTTTTTCTATTTTTTTTTTTAAATGTAAGGATATAATAATAAATTAACATATCCACAGTAAAAATTAATAATCAAAATTTTCAGAATCAACTTTTTTGAGTTAAAATAATTTATTAAAATAAAAACTGTTTAAAATAAATTTAACTAAAATAAAAAAACTAAAATTTATAAATTAACCAAAATAAATCACACCAAACACTGCCACCATACCCCATCGTAACATAACCCTCCCTCTTTCACTTCCCATTGCTATTACCACCAAGGATCCTCTAGAGTGTTTTTTTCTTAAAATTTTTTAAAGTGATGCATTGTGTAGTTGAGATTTAATTGATATTAAATCTCAACCACACAATACACCACTCTAAAACATTTTTAAAAAAAAAAACTCTAAAGAATTCTGACTCTGCTATTACAGCACCAACTCTTCCCCCTTCCTAAAGTCAAAGGGGAAAAGTTAGTAGGCTGCTCATCTCTCTGGTTGTGAAAATAAACATTACCATATACGGAAGTTAATCTTTCATATCTAACCACTAAAAATGGAAGCACGTAGTATTTTTCCGAATCTCAATAAAGTAATCAAAAATGCTTGTGTAAAATTTAATGTATAAAGAAAAATAGAGAAAGAATAAATTATATGTATTATAATTGATTAATTTTATGTACATGGTTGGTCTCCTTTATATAGGAGATGTGGGTGGAGAGTAGGTGTAGTGGAGTAGGTGGAGTTGTGTAGTGGAGTAGGTGAAGTGGAGTAGTTTTAACAGCCCCCCACAAACTCAAGGAGGAGAGACACAAATCAACTTGAGTTTGGAAAGAGTAATAAAATAAGAAAATAGACTAATACATAAAATAAAAGAGGATAGGAGACACTGTATGGTCTTGTCAGACCGTTGGTGAAGACACTGTATGGTTGTGTTAGACCGTTGTAGGAGCTAATCGGAATAAATGTCGGGACAGTTTATGGGGTCATGCCGGACCGTTGTAGAAGCTAACCGGAATCAATGTCGAGACAGTTTATGGGGTCATGCCGGACTGTTGGAGAAGCTAACCGGAATCAATGTCGGGACAGTTTATGAGGTCATGTCGGACCGATGTAGAAGACACTGTATGAGTGTGTATATAGGCTGCCCAAAAGATATACATGGATATATATATCGAGCCCTCAAAAGTCGCGCCCTCAAAAGGCGCGCCCACTACATCAAAAGCCGTGCCCGACAGAAATCATCGAGCGGCGAGCCAGCAAAAGGCGCGCCAGACACGCGGCGATGCACGTGATCGACAGAGCACGTATCGTCCTCGTCGTCCTTGTCTTTATAAACCAAAGCGAAGCCTGAGGCTTGGAAGCATAACAAACCAGTTGAAACCTCTTCGTTCTCTGTAACATCTGAAACATCTGTAACATCTGAAACACTCAACAACCCATAACATGGCCTCTTCTTCTCGTGGTCTGCTCACTCTCTTTTCAGACCTCAACGAGTCCACAAGAGAGATAACTGGTGCGGTTGCCCTTGAACCTCAACCAAGCGCCCCTGAGTTTGCGCCGTTGACCTTTCCTATGCGGTCTGTGGAGCAAATAATGGCAGCGCAATCAGATATTGAGGCCAATCAGTATATATTGAAGTCATGTGTGGAGACCATGACGGCAGTCACAAACTTGTCGCACCGGCTGCAGAGTAGGACAAATGAGGTGCAGTAGTTAAACGCCCAACTGGCTCTGCTCCAACGCATGTATAAGGATGCGCGAGCAAAGATATGTGTGCTAAAAGCGGAAAACAAGGATCTGAAGCGGAAGGCCACCGTTATGTTCCGATTTGGAGGTCCGCCATATGCTGCAGGGGAGGAGCAAGGGGGAGTGAACGGGCTCGGCGGCGTGGGAAACACGGAGGTAACACCGTCAAGGGCCGGCCAGGACGGAGGCAAGAAGAAAAGACCGGCGGAAGAGGCGAAGAAGTGAGGTTGGTGGGTGGCCGTCTGCAGAAAAAAAAACAAATCTTTGGTTGTTGTGATGGTGGTCTTTGGTGTTGTTGTTGTTGTTTTTTTTTTTTTTTTTTTTTGTTGTGGTTGTGGTGTAAAATTGTGATCGGGGTTGATCCCGGCATGAAAAAAAAATGACAAGTTTGTGGATTGAAAACCGAGTAGGTTGTGAAAGGATTTTTTTTTTTTGTGGAATATAAAAAAATAATAAGATAATGGAAAAAGGGTTGATGCGCACCAACTGAGTTGTATAATAATGAAATATTGATGGAAAAAGAAAGATAGAAAAAATAAAATAAAATAAAATGAAGGTGGTGGGAACAGGAATCTGGAAAGGCAATGGAAATGTAGGATTTGAATTTGGTGATTTTGTGAATAATAGTCGGTGATGGTAGGCTGGCACTTTGAGTATTGGATACTGTTGTGCTTGTGATAAAAGGAAATAAAATAGGATAAAATAAAAGGGTATGGTGGTATGGGGGAGAGACACACGCTGGACACACACAGAACACAACAAAGATAACATAAAATAAATAAAGGTATTCTATTTTGTGGTGAGGGAGTCGATGGGTGGGGTGCAAAAGGTGAAGGAAAGGGTTAGAAAGTTGACAAAATGGTGGATGTCCTTGAGTAGAGAGAGATAGAGAGAGAGTGAGAAGTGTGTTTTCAAACTGCCAAAAGGAAGAGAGAGAGAGAGAGAGAGAGTGGGTTGAGTAAAAATATTAAAAATGTTTTCCTCATAAGAAAAAGAAGTGAGTGTGTGATATGATATTAAGAAGTTGGGTCCATGGAGAGAGACGTGAGGTCAGGTTGGAGTCTCAAAGGCGGTGACCTTCTTGGCGATGAAGTCTCAGCTGTTCGAGAGAGAGAGACCACAGTTTGGTGTGGTGGAAGATTGTGGAGGGAACATGAAGCAACCGAGGTGAGTGAGGCTGTAGGTGAAGGTGGCCCGGTCGTGGAGTTGTAGCGGTGGTGGCTCGGCAGTGATCAGTCACGGCTGGAAGCAGTGGCGAGGCTTCCGGTGACAGACATAAGGTGCACAGGCCGTGCGAGCTCGCTGATCGAGCGCAAGGGGCAGATCCACGTCTAGCTGTCGTATAGGCCGACGGAGTACTCGACGACACTGGGAAAGCATGTGCTACAACGGAGCTGCAACAAGGGTACTGGTAGCTCATGGCGATGTGCACTCACAGCAACCTGTGAACTGTAAAGAGTAGTATATGGCATATGGGCACCGTTGATTCCAGGGATGGAAGCGGTGAAGAAGGCGGCCATGGAGGCTGGGGCTTTTGGATGCACCATTAGTGGAGCAGGGCCTACAGTAGTGGCGGTGATTGATGATGAGGAGAGGGGGAGGGAGATTGGGGATAGGATGATTGAAGCCTTTATCAAGGAAGGGAACTTGAAGGCATTAGCAATGGTGAACAGGCTTGACAGGGTGGGTGCTAGACTTGTAACTAGCATTCCTAGATGATTTTGATCATCATGAATAACAAACAACAAAGGAAAGGACCCCCATTCAGTGCATGGTGGGTGCTCTGTGTGTGTGTGTTTTGAACCATCATTGTTGCAGACATGGTGTTCGACGAAATGTCCCAGAGGGATTTTGGGTTTGCTTCGGGGAAGTGGTGAAGAAGAGTGAAGGTATGTGTAGAGAATTTTAGCGGACTAGGTTGAGGTCCGGCGGGCGGCCAAGGCGAGATTGCCGCCCGCCGGTGAAGCGAAAAATACTAAGTTCTTAACCTTGCTCTGATACCATGTAAAATTTAATGTATAAAGAGAAATAGAGAGAGAATAAATTGTATATATTATGATTGATTAATTTTATGTACATGGTTGGTCTCCTTTATATAGGAGATGTGGGTGGAGAGTAGGTGTAGTGGAGTAGGTGAAGTAGATGGAGTTGTGTAGTGGAGTAGGTGAAGTGGAGTAGTTTTAACAGCTTGGGACCTTTAATTAGAGGTTCAACCACCGTCAGTGCTATGTCTGTTTTGTTTTTGGTTTTTTTTTCTTTTTTTTCATCTCATTGGAGGTGTATTTAGAGCATTTAAATTAGAAGTTTCTAACATCACTGATAAGGTAATATGTGGACAAAACAAAACAAACTCTTTAATAGAGAGATTTGAGAAGATATTTAAAAAGAAAAAAATATGTGAAATTATGTGAAATAAAAATATATTTTATTCATATTTTATTTATATATATTTTTTTTAAAAAAAAATCATTTCTTAAATTTCTCACCTAAATGCAATATACCGCTCCAGATATTTGAGAAAAACTCTAAATTTGAAGACGATGATTGAATCGACGGCGACGGCTACAGGATTGGGCGATTCTGTTGACTAATCATGAAAAATTGATCTCAAATCATGAGAGTTGGAAGTGATAACATGTAATAAGGTTCATGATAGGCTTCATGAGGAGTGGTGGTAAATGGTTGGATAAGGTGGGTTATAATCCGGTGTTGCTAGGCTCAAATATAAAAAACGTCAAGTTAAAAGTGTGAATCAGATCCTAGCATGTGTCTTTTATACAATTTTTTACCGTTAACAAGATAACAAAGACTAACGGCTGGCTAGAATTGGTCCTAATTTAAAACTGTGACATTCAAATCATAATCATTTTACTTTTTTCTCTTACAAAAAATAAAAATAAATAAATAAATAAACCAAACCAAATAAACTTTTAATTCTAAACTAAAATGGTCAAAATGTCAATTAAAAAAGTTAATTGTCAAACGGCAACTAAAACATTAAGGTTTAATTTGTTACGAGAGTTAAACTTTAGAGTTTTTTTTTTTATAATTTGCCCAATAATTTATTTTCGTTTATAGATTGGTTTAATAATTATAATTAGATCATTTTGCTGTATTTGTGTTTGAAAAAAATAAATAATTATATATTTTTTAAATAAAAAAAATTATAATAAAATCATGTGATTATTATTACCCAATTAATATACTTTTTGCACTAATATTCTATACACAGTGGACTCATGATGGATCCACAAATCTAAACTAAACAATATCCAATTCAAAATAGGCTGAAGACAATCCAATCTCTTAGGTATAATATATGTATATGGTCCTAATAATGTATGTGTAGTTTTATATATATCTTAACTGCAAAGTAGGGGTGAAACAATAGAACAACTTGCCTCTCTGCCGACGTTTATTTTCAAGGAAAATCACAATCAGGGACAAACAGGCTGGATGCAAAAACAATAAAAATCTCAATAAACTTTGTTAATATACATTTGGATATAATAGCGATACAACATGATAAAATTCTTATCTAATAAGCAATCGCATTACGCTTAAAAATCACAATATAATTGGGTTAATAGAAGATAATACTAATTCACTTAATTTTCATTTGTGACTTTTATTGACCAGTAATACCAAGTAAGTAAGTTAGTGTTACTATCATACTCAAATACGTGTCGTACAGACACGCGATCTTTGTCCTTCATTTTCTAAATTTCATATCATAAATATTCATCCTTCCACATGGTGTGCCAACTTTCAATTAACAAGTTAATTATTTTGATCGATTATTTTGATACATGGTGTTAAGAAAGAGAGTTAGAGAGAGGAGACAAGAATTCACACCTGTTGTACAAATGCATAAAAACAAGTTTAGTGATAGAAATAATTGTTTAAAAAAATGAATACAATACAAGCCAAACTCTCTTTGTTTTTTTTTTTCCTTTTCTTTTCTTTTTGTTCACACAAATTTCTCAAAAAATCTAATATCCAAACACATCTTAAAGGTAAACGATTCATAAACAAGGCCCCAATGCCTACCTTTTGGTCCAACCCATTGGGTTTGCAAGGGCAACCCAACGCCCACTAGAATTTCAAGAGATTGTTCAAGCCCAAATCCAATCCAGTCCAACCTCAGGTCTGTCTCAAGTGATTAATCCTAAATTAACTACATTTCTTGTAAGAGACTAAACATAAATAAACTTATTAATCATCTAATAAGTTCTACCAACCAAATGAGGTAACAAAGCTTCTTGTCAACCAGAGTGGAAAATGTTACATGTGCAACAAAATTTCTCATTTTACAATTAAGTTCGTCGTTGAAAAAAAAAAATAAATAAATAAAAATTAAGTGGAGACACCAAAACCTCGACCATGAATGAAAAATGACACAAGGGTAGAGCATTTTTGTTTGAACAAGTCTGCTTGGGGTGTATTAAAATAGTACATTTTTTATCTTTTTATTTTTTTAAGTCACATCACCTCTCTACTTCTCTGTACATCTTTTCGTAAAAAATCAAAAAGTGTATTTATTTGAATCGTGTAAATTAAATCTGTAAAGTGTGAAATCTATAAATAGAATAAATCTAAACTACAAAATCAAAATTCTAAGTAATTTTTGAGTTGATAAGTCTACGTTTATAGTATTATTGTTTTTGTTTTTCATGTTGCCAGAGAATAAAAAAATGTTTTTTTATTTTTTATTTTTAATTTTAAACATGGTTTATCGAAAATATTTTATTTTTGGTAATTTTATGTACACTGTTTTGTTTGTTTTCATGGTACATAAAATGCATGAAATAAAAGAGAAAAAGTCAAAATTACTTGTTAATTCACCCCTAGGGCTGCAAATGAACCGAGTTGTTCATAAACAAGCTCAGCTTGACTCGTTAAGGGCTCGACTCAGCTCGGCTCAGCTCATTTAGTAAACGAGCCGAGCTCGAGCTCGCATAAGCTCGGCTCGTTTATCTTTATTTAAATTATATAATAAATATATTATTTATATATTAAATAATATATAAACATATATAAATGCATTATTTTCAAGAGAGCAGTAATACACACACAAAAAAGAAAAGAAAAAAAGAACATCAAGAGAGGAGCAATCCCAAATTCCTTGAAGTAGTAACTAGTAATGCACATGAAGGGGAAAAAACAAGGAAAAAATTACAGCCTTCCACTCTTATATCAGAGGAAGGAAATCATACACATGATTACATTGCTGAAAAGGCCCCCCCGCTATTTTAACTTCATTTCATGGTAAAATTAGATTTAAAAAAATTACATGCCATGACCGTAAAAAAGGTAATATTATTTACGCCTCTTAAATTTCTCTTTACACTCAATTTGCCAATTATGTCTACAATCACTTGTGAGAGCACAATTCCCAATTAGGATAATAGAGATGCATGAAAAGAGAAATTTAAAATTTGTAATTACCAGCACCCCTTCAAATGACTTGGATGGCTAAGAACAATCCTTGGTAGCTCGAGAAACGTTTGGCTCGAATACCCAAAACGTCGTTTTGGATATTCTCTCTCTTTTTTTTTTTTTTTGCCTTTCCCTCTTATATTGCTAAAAATAGAGGGAGGAAACAGAGGGAGGAAGAGAAAGAAGAGAGAAAAGGGAAGGGGAATAGAGAGAGCACCATCACCGACACCGCCATCCTCTATGTATACACAGATCTACAGATCTATGTACCTCTCTCTCTCTCTGTGTATCTGTGTGTGTTGATGATGATGATGATGATGATGTGTGGTTGATGATTGGTAGTGGGTTTGATTTTTGATTTTGATTTTTGAGTTTAATTTTTGGATTTGATTGGTAGATTGCTTCGATTTTGTGATGAGTTGTGATGGGTTTGGTAGGTTTTAGAGAAAGAAAGTAGAGAAAGAAGAAGATGAAAGAGGTTTTGGGTTTGTGTGGAGGATGATGATGATGATGATGATGATGATGATGTTGTGTTGTTGATGATTGGTAGTGGGTTTGATTTTTGATTTTGATTTTTGAGTTTAATTTTTGGGTTTGATCGGTAGATTGCTTCAATTTTGTGATGGGTTATGATAGGTTTGGTAGGTTTTAGAGAAAGAAAGTAGAGGAAGAAGAAGATGTAGGAGGTTTTGGGTTTGATGTTCTGTTTATTAGATATTGGTTCAGAACTGTTTGAGACAGAAAAGAGAGGAGGAAGGAAGACGAACCAAAAAAAAAAGGCAAAACGATGTCGTTTTGCATTTTCGAGCCATTTGGGGCAATTAGTTTCGAGCTACCCAGCAGAACTGGATGGCTAAATATCAGGAAAACACAAAATAGTGATGACTAGGGAAGCAAAGTCTGATCTGTTATGTGTGAATTTTTTGATTTTTTTTTATTTTAATAAAACCTAATTCGGGATTGTTGCTCTGGGTTATCCAATTCCTCTTTTATCTTTTAATCTGATATCGAGAGCAGCTTCTTATTCAATCACATGAGAGTTCTTCTTCCGACTCTGATAAAATAAATCGGTCAAGCAGATACCCTTGACTCACCTCTATTAAAAAAAAAAAAAAATCCCTCCCCAAAAAGGGCATTAATTAAGAGCAGTCTAAGGAGCCTTGCCTATTTGACAATAGTAGTCTATTTCAAGTTATCCATGTCTGAGAAATTTACAAGGTGTGGTTACAGTTGGAGTCTAAAATCAAGTAATCACCTAAAGCAGTCAAAAATCCAGCAGCATTCAAATGGTAGAGAGTCCATCTAGCAAAACATTATATCACTAAATCGTGCTTCTAGCACATAAAACTTATTGGGGGGAAAAAAATTCTACCAGCCATCTAGACAGATAGGTTGGTCAAGTAGAGCATAGTTATCAGCTTCAAAATTACGACTAAAAATGACCTTTTTCAAATGTGATTGCTAATATTAATAATGCCATTGCCAATTCACTGTCCATTACACTAAAGACAAGGGTAGGGTACTTATAATTAGTATGGTAACGATCAACCCACCCATGTGTCATAATATTGAAGGAAAATGTATGAACCACATTACCCAGATAAAACTTATATAGCACTGCTCACCTCATAGGTGCTGTGACTGTGAGACAAACTTTTCGACTACCCTGAAATCATAAACACAACTCACTTAGTCAAACACAATATAAAACTCAAGCAGGATAACTAAGTTTCAAAGTATGTTCCAAGCTCGCCTTGGATAATGTTCATTTCTGGTTATAACATCAAGAGAGCAGTAATACACACACAAAAAAGAAAAGAAAAAAAGAACATCAAGAGAGGAGCAATCCCAAATTCCTTGAAGTAGTAACTAGTAATGCACATGAAGGGGAAAAAACAAGGAAAAAATTACAGCCTTCCACTCTTATATCAGAGGAAGGAAATCATACACATGATTACATTGCTGAAAAGGCCCCCCCGCTATTTTAACTTCCCTTGTACTGAATTGACTTACAATATGTTTGCCCCAAGTGCAATGATAAAAGACATCTTTCTCCGTATATCTCGACCAAACGAACTAATTTGTCATACTTTTGCACCAAGGAATGACTGCAAAGAAGTGAAAGGTATGCTTCAAACCTATCGAACAATTGTAATTAACTGATTTTAATTACTAGGACACATTGTGGAACTTTTGGACAAGATTAAGAGGCAACAAGATATCTCCAAAGCAACTACCTATAGTTGAAACTGTAAAACCCAATGCATATGTTCTGGATAGATCATGCAGACACAAATCTTTAAGACCCATTATCAAGATGATCACGCCAAAGAGTTGCTTGGCCTAATGATAAGTGTCCCAGCCTGGTGACGCAGGTTTGAGTGACAAAAGTAGCCTCTCCAAAAATGAGGGTGAGGCCATGTACATCTTGTCTTCTCCAAACCCGCTTTAACGGGAGCCTTATGCACTTGGTAGTTCTTTTATCAAGACAGTTAATTCTAGGAATTAGACAAATTAATCTGTTTATTAATATGTCACTCTTTACTAGGGCTGTTCAGCAACCCGTCTAATCGGATCAACCAGCCCGGACCGACTCGAACCGAGACTGAACGGACAGTTTCGAATGATGCTGCGGTCAGCTGCAGTTTGTACTCTTTAATTTTTATGAATTGGCGGTCAGCATTGGATTTGTTTGAAAGAAAACCCAAAAAAACTGACTCGACCAATATAATATACAAGTATATATACATTACCTCCACGTGTTGGTGACTTTTCATATTACTTTCTGCAGATCTATTTGCTATCCTTATCTCAAGTCTAGAAATTTGTTCACCAATTATTTCCATGCACACTGACACATTTTCTCTCTCCTATTATAATATCTGACTTGTATCTCTCCATCACATTAATTACACTCTGTCACTCCCTAGAGATAACTCTTATTTTTTATTTATTTTTATGAGGCTTAATACTTCTTGATAAGAGAGCTAGCCTCTCTTGGTCAGAGAGCTAACTTTAAGTCTTTTCATTTTTATTTTAATTTTTTATTATTTTTTCTGTCTTCTCATTCTTTCCGTCTCATTTCGTTCATTTATTTTCATCCATTTCCTCTCTTTTGTGAGATAACAGATACTCTCTCTCTCTCTCTCTCTCTCATTGTATTTTTCATTCGTTTATCTATCTCTAACAGAGATCACTACCATTGCTGCTACAACGATTGCTTTACCCCGTCGCTATTCATCTTTTTTCTGATATTTCCTTTCACCTTTTGACCTTATAGATCTTTGTCACTCCTCTCCTCTCTCAGATCTTCCTTCCTCTTATTCTCCTCTCAGATCTCCCTCGAGTATATCGACGAGGGCTATACGTGTAACGCTACCAACCCTCTAACCAATCGACCCTTAGATTCTCTCGCTCGTTTGTATGTGTCCTCTTCATTGGGCACCGACCATATCCGACCGTGAAAATAGGGGCCCGATACTCTGCGATTTCGAACAATACTTGGTCAGAATCGGATGTTTTTTCTTCTCATCCGAAGATGTTAGTTCAGTTGATGGTTGAGCAGCAAACTCAAACCGACTCGACCTGTGAATAGCCCTACTCAACCAATTTTTGCAAGATTTTTGAGTTACATTAAGTTGGTTGAGAAGCCAAGTTTTTCAAAACAAAGCCTCTGAAAACAAGGTATTTCCATTCCAATTGACATGGTCCCAAAAAGACAATGCATGAGGATGAATTTTTGGAGCCATATTTACAACACACAAAAAATGCATGCATAACATACATAAAATAATTTGTTACCATTTAAATAATTGCACATGAGTTTTTGCTCTACTAATTAGGCCACTTCATTGAAATTGCATAACGATCAGGCCCATTATTTTGTAGTGATTTCCCTAGCTCACAGTGGCACGTTGTTGAGTGTTTCTCATTAAATCAAACAATTTTTTATTTGACTTATACTTCATTAACACCTCCAAGGTTTCCTTTCAACCATTCCCATGACCCTAGTTTCAAACAATCTTTCGAGAAACAATATGCACACTAACAATGTGTAGGGTAGGTAGAGCTCCTGCCACAGCCCCACTTCAGCTTGGGCCAAGTTCAATTATACTGGGGACAAGGGAGGAGATCTTATCCAGTGGGTAGGTTAAATGAAGAATCTCAACAAAAGAGAAACTATACTATATCCACCCCTTTGTCCAAAATTAATTATAGATAAAATAAGAAAACGTCCAAATCCCAAAATAACACCAGCCATCGGAAGATGATTACCTTGGTCTTTGTTGGAGGCGTTCCTGACTTATCTGTAGTAGTGCTTCCAAAGCCAAACCTTGGTTTCTTCTCGGCAGGCTTTAATATTTGAAATGAACACATCAAAGTTTCATCCACACTCAACATCGCACCAGCATTATCAAACTCTCCACAGTAATTAGGAGCCGAAAATATAGTTACAAGTTGTCTATCAGCAAAGAACTCATATCCGTCTTCAACAACCTACATAACAAAGCAAAATGACTATAAGACACTCTGCAAGTATGAATGCTGTAAAAAAATTCTAAACTTAATCCAGCTCAAACCTGGTGGGCACGACAAACAAGGTCAAGATCATGCTTCTGAAGAAACTCTGCCAACTTGTCAGGGCCAAAGGTATAGGAAACTCCCCTATCATTTATCCCCCACGCTTTAACATCTTTACTCGGATCTGACCAGAGTAGATCACATAGTAAACCAGTTTCTGGAACATCAATCGGACGCTGTAAATTCCTGATTTGGTCCAAATCATGGAGGTCAGGAGAAAGTCCCCCGTGCATACAGAGTATCTTTTGACCAATGAGAGCTGCCACAGGTAGGCAATTAAAACAATCTGTGAAGACTCTCCATAGTCTGACATTGAATCTTCGCTTGCACTCATCATAAAATCCATATATACGGTTTACAGATGCACATTCGTGGTTGCCCCTCAAAAGGAAAAAATTTTCAGGATATTTTATCTTGTATGCAAGGAGAAGGCATATTGTTTCGAGGCTGTGCTTCCCACGATCCACATAATCCCCCAAGAATAAATAATTGGATTGAGGAGGTAGCCCTCCATACTCAAAAAGCCTCAGAAGATCAGAATATTGACCATGAATATCACCTGTAAAAAAAAAAATCTATAAATAAATGGACAATCATAATGTTATACCCAAGAAAAGAGGGAAATAACATTGATGATCAATAGATAGTTGTCATGACTCCTTGGAGAGTTCCATTGATTTGTCTAATCGTCTCCCTTATTTGGTACTAGATGCATGTCTATTGTTATTCAGATGATAAAATAGCAAGCTCTAAAATGGAGGTAAAAGTCTAGTGTCAGATACAAATTTCACTTCCAGTTCCAGAGTACATAAACTCATTTAAGCCCTGAAACAAGAAGAGACCTAAGTACCATAGGAAATAACAGTGAGCACCCGTTGCACGCGAGAGCAGAGGGAGAGAAAGAAATGAGGTGCTTTAAGATAGCACCTGTGGCACATGATTAGGCTAAGTGTGGTCATATGTTTATCTTGAAGAAAGCATCATTGTTACCAAAGCATCCTCCCTCACCACCACATTCCCACATCCCAAACCCCCACTCTAAGTAAAAAAGGAGAATGATCTCATACTGGCTGCACAAGTATACTTTGTAGCACATCAGAAACTCTGCTCTCAAACCAAAGAAACTAGGAATCTGACAATGCAACATCTAGAAGGGTTTGCATAGTTGTTGGAACAAGGAAACAAACATTCTTCCAAAGGAAGATCCATCAAGCCATGGAAAACGATGAAATTTGAAAATCTCTCATATCAATTGGATTAAAAGCATTGTGTACATTGAGTTGAAGTTAAACTACAACCACGTAAGCTGCATACACCAAAAAAATGATATTTCAAACAAAACTATAATTAAAATGATGCCCTTCATGAGCTAATTTAAATAAATACCAACTTCAACCAGTACTGACAGCAAGTCATACTGAGAAGCAAACATGTTTAAATGCAGTACACTTCTAGAAATCAATAGATTTCCAAGTGGACCAAAAAAAAATAAAAAAATAGCATGGGGTACAAACCAGTCCATTCAAGCCACACCTATTGTAAAAAATGCAATTAACCATCTATCCATAATATGATTCCTAGGACAATCTCAAAAATAGTTAAAGATGCAGTGCAAAACAGCAATTTCGTCCAATGTGAAATTGAATCCACTAGAGAATAATCATAATCAACCAAACCCACTTCAAATTGATCATAACCAAGGCAAACCCACTTCAACGAAATCAATATCAAGCCAAACCCAGTACAATATAATTAAATTTGATCCAAACAGAACCCTCAAAAGTGAAATCCAAGGGGGTAATTTCAGAAAAATATACCGCAGATCTTGATGGGAGCCTCAAGGTCTAAGAGATTTGGCTGTTGCAAGAAGATTTCTCTGGATTGTAGACAAAGCTGTCTGATCAGAGACTCCGAAAGCTGCACTTGCTTCCCTGGTCGGCCCCGAACTTCGAGCAATCGGTTGATTACACCATCAAGAACCGAAGGTTCCATAATTTTGTAGAATTTCACTCACAAAATTCAATCTCAAGATTGAGCAAGAAGGAAAGAATAAAGTAAGGGGGGTCGGTGATGTTCTTGGCCCTGTTCTGAGGTTGTGGATATTAGCATATCAGTGGGAGAGAGAGCTTTCAAAATCAAGTCTTTAGCTCTGGGGGAGTGGTGGAATTGGCTTTAGTTTGAAAATGGCTTTTCTTGAAACATTGGTGTCTGTCTCTCTCCCAAACCGCCAGAGTGAAAAAGCAAAGAGGGGAGTGTGGAGAGTGGGATTCCTCCTCAGCAGCAGACAGAGAAAGGAGAGAGAGAGACGACTTTGCAGACGCGCAACCCCGCGTGGCGTGTTCATGGCCTTGTTTGGTGCAGCTCAAAAGCTGCTTATTTCAACTTTCAGTTTAATTTAAATTATTTTGATATGTTTGATTTAGTTTATAACTTATAACTTATAGTGTTTTGGAAGTCAAAAATCAGCTTATTTTTTGAGTGGGGCTAGAGATGCTTAATTTATAAGTCAGAAATCAGCTTATGTTCATAGTTATAAGTTATAAGCTGTTTAAGCATAAGCTATAAGTACTTTTCCACAGCTCTACCAAACAGGATCCGGGTGTTTTAGAAATATAATTAAAATTTAATTTTTGAATTTTTTTTTTTTAAATATGCAAAAATATAGGAGCGATAATATAAAAAAATAAATTATAAATTGTGAAGTGACTTTTAAACTACTTCTTAAGAGAGGCGTAAGTCAATTTAGAAGTTGAGCACCTAGTAGTAATATGAATTAAAAAAATGTAAAAAATTAAAATTTGAAATAAAAAATTTTGAATAAAGAATTTTTTTTTTTAGTTTTTGGATGAGTAAAGTCCCAAAGACCAAATTATACTCCTATCAAAAATCACACTAAACTGTGCATTTTATATAGGAGGGTTTTTTTTAAGGTCCCTGATATTAAGAATTTATAGCATAAAGGACACTAAATATTTTCATAATGTCTAAGGTCCTTCAACATCAATCCAGAGAAAATTCGATCCAGAGAAAATTCGGTCCAGAGAATTTCTCTGGAAAATCCAGAGAAATTCTCTCCAGACATCCAGAGAAATTCTCTTTATCCAGAGAAAATTCAGATAGTCCAGAAAAAATTTAGACATCCAGAGAAAATTCAGATAGTTCAGAGAAAATTCACAAAATCCAAGAAACTCTGCATCATCATGCATTTTATATGTTCTCTTACAAATATCTTTTCATGAAGAGTTGCTATCAAAATTCTGTTTGCTAATCCTAGTGCTCTTTGTAGATCAAGTCAAACAAGATGAGGTGGTTGACAGTAAGATCTTGCAATACCCTAGCATAGACAAGAAAGAAAAGAAGTCATTCCCTAGACTTCCAGAGAAAATTCAACTTCAAAGAGAAAATTAGTCCAGAGAAATTCTGGGAAGAATTTCTCTGGACTTTCCAATTTCTCTAACATTCCCTAGATTCCCACTGTAAATTTCTCTGGCCTTCCATTCTCTCCAGAGAAATTTCCATTCTCTCCAGAGAAATTGTAATGTGCTTCATCTTGTTTGAATATGCTATATTGTTGATATTGATTCAGAAATTCTACAATTGTTTGGGAAATTCCTATCATTTTCTTTGAATGAATTTAATAAATTTTTGTTGTACTTATCTACAAATTTTCCAGGGTATATCTATCCTTACCTAATTCCAAATTTCTCTGGACTTCTTTTCAAATTTATCTGGACTTCCCACTGTCCAGAGAAATTCTCGCCAAATTTCTCTGGATTTCCCACTGTAATTTCTTTGGACAAAGTAAGTTCAAGTCTCATCTTACCCTAAACTCTCTCTCACTCTCTAATATTTTTTCTTTGGATATATGGTTGTAGAAGAAGCTTCTGATTCTCCAAATTTCTCATAGCCATTATTGGTCATTCAAAATCAAAGAATTTCTCTAGTTACCTACCAGGAAATATTTCTTGGTTATCTAAACTTCTTTATTATTGGTCATTCAAAATCAAACCAAACCAGAGAAATTTGGGCTACCTAGAAACAAAAAAAAATCATAATTTTCTCTGTGTTTTGAACAAATTAGAGAAAATTGTAATTGTTTTTCTCTATGATTATTTTTCTAAGAAACATTTTATCAAACAAGTTAGCTTCAAAGCTCATAGCTATATGTTTTACAGTTCTAAAAAGAGTTTTGTCAAACCAAATCTCAATCGAAAGAGTCCATAGCTTGTTTCTCTGCAAATCAGCTCCATGGCATCAAGAGAGGAGGATACACGAACATGATTACAGAGAGCTGTACACGGGCTCTCTCTCTCGGCTTAGAGAGAGAAAGGAGAGAGTACACAGCAAGGAGAGACCCACACACCTAGACCATGCATGAGGGACGGGATGGAGAGGGCAACACAAAGAACGACCAGCTTCTCTCTCTATAATGGAGACATGCATACGGCAGACCAGCTTGTTGCTCGGACTCAGGACAACGTGGATGGAGAGGGGATGGGGTGAGGGACCTTAGACTATAAAAGAACAGATTGTGGACTTAATCCATTACTAAAAGTTTGATAGGGACCTTAGACCGATTTTCCCTTTTATATAATAGTATGTACTAAAGATAATTGTCTACACGTGATGGGTATACAATTACTTACAATTCCGTTTCGAAATGAAAACGACTCGAATGGTCTGAGTCCAAAATGAAGTTGTTTTAGAATTTTTTTTTTTTTTTTTTCTTCTCTTTTCTCTTTGAAGATGAAAAACACATTGAGAGAAAAGGAATTGGTTTCCATACGGTTGGAATTGGTTTTCAAACAGGGGAAGACCAACTTGTGTAGCATCTCAACTGGGCAAGACCAACTTCATCAACACATAATCTTCATCAACACATCATCATCATCAACAACATCTTCATCAACATCATCATCATCAACGCATCATCATCATCAACAACATCCTCATTAACACCATCATCATTATCATCAAACACATCATCATCATCAACAACATCTTCATCAACGTCATCATCACAGCATCTTCATCAACATCATCATCATCATCATCAACAACAACATCATCATCATCAAGATCCATCGATTTCAAAACCTGAAAAAATAAGAAGAATAAGAAGAAACCTGGTGGAGCTCTCTCTCTTCTCTCTCTTTCTTCTCTTCTCCTCTCTCTCTCTCTCTCTTCATCCCTCTGTTTGTCCTCTGTCCTTCAGAGATCTAATAGGAAAGAAAAAAAAAAAAAAAAAACACTGCCCAAAACGCCAGGCCATTCGAGTCGGAAAAGTTTCAAGTTACGAATCATTTTTGAATTACTTATATGATAACGATGTATGTATGCGTTGGAAGACTCTATCCTAGGTTTTTTTTTTAAAAAAAATTATTTTATTTTATCCCAGGTTAATTGTTGGTGTTTGGAAAGTTGGCTCTACAAAGAGACAAGCTAGTGATTTATATTTTTTGATAATTTTGTTTTTTTTTAAAAAAAAGTCAATTTTAAACATATATAAAACTAGCATATCAGTCGTGTTATGTACGAAATAAAATAATATATTATTTAACAAAAAATATGATAATTATATTTAATTTTTTTAATATTTTGTAAAATAAAAATTAAATGGAAGTTAGTTAATCGAGATTTTCTTAATTGTTTACAATTAAGAAAATCAAAAGACATAGTATGAAATATTGATTAGAAGGTTTCTCACTAAAAATTTGATTTTGCTTATATAAATGGGATATAAGATACACTTTATGTAAGTGAAACAATTCACTTTTTCCTCTCTTTTTTTCCCGATGTGGGATTGTAAAATAAAATTTAAATGGAAGCTAATCAATAGGGATTTTCTTAATTGTTTAAAATTAAGAAAATCAAAATTGAGTATGAGATATTGATCATAGGACTTCTCAGTACAAATCTCTTTTTGCTTATATAAATGAGAGTATAAGATTTACTTTATATAAGTGAAACAATTTACATTTTTTTTTTTTCGATGTGGAATTGTAAAATGAAAAGTAAATGAAAGCTAACCAATGAGAATTTTCTTAAATGTTTAAAATTAAGAAAATTCAATAATTTTAGAATAAAAGTTTGAAGCTCCTAGAAGGCTTCCCCCTAAAAACTCCATTTTCCTTGTATAATATATAGATAGATAGATAGCGAAACAAACTTTGCTTTTGCTTTTTCTTCTTCTCTCGATGTGAGATTATAAAATAAATCATAAACTAATTTGTAACAACCCCGACCCATGACTATTAATCCATGATTAAATATGCCTAATAAGTTATTAAGCCAAAATCATGTGTTAATTGCATGAACTATATGGTCCTTGTGTTTTTATATGTCTGTTGTAGGAATACCTGTTTGTGTTTCTGTTTTGTTCTGTGAATTGAAGGCCTTATCAGCATTCGATCACAAAATTGACTATTGTTATGTGTTATTTAGAATTTTTAAAATTTTATAATAGGTTGAATTGAAATTTGATTTGGAACGAATTAAATTAGAATAATTAATGTCAATTTGATTAACTTAAGTCAAGTTTAATTTGGCCTCCTTAATTGAGCCTATATAAGGCTAATTTGACTCCATTAGTTCATTTTGCACCTTCATTCCATACTTTTTAAGCTCAAAAACGTGGGAGAGAGAGAGAGAGAGAATGAAGAAAATTGAGATAAAAAACTAGGAAAATGAGGAATTGCTAGGAATTATTGAAGAATTTGGGAGTTTAAACTTCTACACTTGTGAAATTAAAGCTCTAGGTAAGAATCTTGTCCCTAACTTTGCGTTCTAGACATATGAGAAAGAGTTCAAGAAATTAAGATGACTAAACATCATAATTGAGCTTAAATTAAGGAATTTGGGAAGAGTCATTGCATGCTTGCATAATTCATGAAGTTTTGCGTTTGATTTCAAAGAATTTCCATATGCATGTGTTCATCTTGCCTTTGTTTTGAGAATTCGTGAAGTTTCACACCAAATTACCTCAATAACTTATGTATGGAAAGCTTTGAAGCCAAGATAAATTCATACATGCTATGTTCTTGAAATTCTAAGTTTGAGTTTGCACAATTTGCATACTTTTGGACCTTGATTTTGCAAAATGGTTTTGAATTCATGAAGTTTGACAAGTTTATATAAGTTTTCTTAAGTTTTTGGCCCAAAATATCATGAGTTGTAGCTTTAGGGTCGGGTTTTGAGCTTAGAAGCAAATATGGAAATTCCAGAATTCTACTCCTCCGCTTGAACAACAGATCTTGCGCTCGAGCGACCACTTTTATTTTTGCACCTCCGCTTGAGCGACCAAGAGT